AGTCAGGAGGGGTAAGCATGGGGCCCCTCACCCCAATTCAGCCCCACCTTATCTTGCCAATCTTATTCCTAACACCACCATCCATTGTGGCCACGTGAATCATTCCAGATTGGCCAGGAAACTGAGAAGAGTGAGGAGTATCTTTTATCTTTATATTCACCCACTCAGCGTAGTGAGAGTCTACTTGCTGGAGACACCATCCACTCTCTAGTAGCAAAAATCAGAATGACATGGAACTCTGAAGAACTCTGGAGGAACCCAGGCACTGTTGCAAATCTGAAAGCATGTAACGGACAAACAAGTAAAAGGAAGTTGATCACTTTGACAGTGATGACGATTGTCATTGCTGGCCGGTGGGAGAATGAACATGGGGTGATGAGGAACACCCTTCCTCACAGACTGTAAAACATTTACGTATTAAAGATTAATCATTTCTTCCTTGCTCCTTTTATACCATTCTTTGCAGATGTGCTTAAAGGAGTTCTATTCTTGTCATCACATGGACAAATGTCCCCATTCTCAGCAAACCTAAACCATCACCCTATACTATTGCCTCAAGCACATTCCCATCCCATTGGTGAGGACTGGTTTGAGGAAATAAACATGCTATGTAAACCAAACAAATACCAGAAAAACAGTCACAGGTCCATCTTGTTCAAAAGAGATCCAGAGCAGATAGGCCCTGTTTAGGCTTCAGAGTACTTTGAATAAATAAAAACTAATTAACTCTTTCAGAGAAAGTATATATTTGATTACTATCCAGGGTAATCAAATCAGATGGCATCATGGAAAAATCATCAAGGTAAACACCAATTGTATGGATTTTCATACCTAACTGCATTATTAACTGAACAAAGACGTGTAAAACTATTTTCACAGATTAAGTCTATTGGTAGCATTCTGAATTGTGACCAAAATCCAGCATTGGACTCGGGTTGGCCATATGGTTATGTGTGCCTGACAGAAAAGCAATGAGCTAGGTCCATTAAGGAATCATAAAAATTTTTTTTCACAGAAAGAAATGGTTTTTTACAATTTTTTCACTTCAGAGCCTTCTACAGAGGAGCAAAGAGACATGAACTCCAGCTTGCTCCTGTAAAGATAGCTCCTCACCAGAGTGAATGGGAGAAATGAGGTTGCTTTCAATATAAAAGCAATGTGGTGGTTTTCTTGTTTTTATTAAGTATCAAGCTTATTAATTCAGTCCAGAATACTATGTGTCATGTACACTAATACCACAAAAGATCAAATTCCTCTCCATAAAGTCTTCTAGTCTCTCCACAAGATTTCTGCAAAAGAGTTTTTTGCAATTCTCTTGAGAACCACAGTGTTATTTTCCAATTTTACTTGGAGATCATGATTTCTCCTTAAATAATCCTTTAGAGAAAAAGACCACTTATTTTCATTTTGTCTTCTGTAACTGTGGCATGGTACAGACCCAATCAAAGTTTGTCAAAGAAAAATAGTCTCCCTTTTGAAAGTGAATAAAATATTCATTTATTTTGAGTAAATTTCCTCTTTCAGTCCAACCATCTGGTTCTAAATAAGGTACCCTACTTTGAACACGGATATGCTTGCCATCTGGCTACCCGAAAGTGGCAATTACTTCAGGTAAATGAACATATACCTAATTCTAAGCAAGTATATTCTACTATAGGAAACTATGGCATAAATACACACCCTTTTTATCTGCCTGCCTGCCATGCACCAACTTGAGGGAAAAAATGAGTATGTGTTCTGCCTAATGGAGATAACTTACTGACATGTGCAAACATTTCAAATCCAAGAGAATTTATTTACTTTCAATATTCAACAAGTGGTGAATTTTCCCTTTAGCCAAATGATCAACTGAAAGGAGAGGAGCCTTGGGCTTTAAAAAGTAGTCCATCCTCTACCCTTCTCCAGTGCAGAATGGGAACTAGGGATGGTAAGTGTTCCCTGTAGGACAAAACCAGGCCCCATTCAACACCTAGTGGGGGATAAAACCTTCTGGGGGTCATAGATATATAGCAGTAGTGAAATCTAATTTTCCTGCCCTCACCCAAATTCCTTCTCTGAGATCTCTGAGGAGTAAACCAAAACCAAAGAACCAGACTGACCGGGTATTAAGGTCTTGTTTCCATATAAGCTAAATAAGGTGGACTGAATTGTAATATTGTTCTTTAAATATCTCTAGTTGTTCACTGTGACTCCTCATTCACAGAATAAGTATTTATTTTTGTCACAGAAATTATCCAATAATTGAATTGGCAAAAATTATGACTAAGTATCAAGGTATTTCATCATTAATCAAATGAAAATTTACAATTTGCATCTATGTCCTCTTGGAAAGTGTGTTTTAAAATGACAGATTACAGAGAATTTGGGGGACAAAATCATCACCAACCAAAGTCCAAACCTGGCTGAGTTCCTGACATTGGTATGTTTAAAAAGTTTCGAAGCACCCATAGTAACAGCAATCAAAAAATTTAAAAAAAAAAAAGCTTAATACATGTAATATTAACATAATTGTGAAATGGCTTATTAGAGATTGCCTCTCCCATATCAACTCCAGTTATAAACATTCAAGAAATTATCATATTCACTCTGGTATTGAAGGGAAAAAAAAACGTAAAGAGTAACAAGGAATTTCTCTAAGCTGCTGTTTAGAAAATAACCATCCTGAGAGCTCAAGAAGTACTGACTCCTGATTTTCTATTGGGATACAGAGTTTAGCCACATGCACACTGGGTTAAACTTTCAACCAAGTCATTTACATCTTTGGGAGAAAATTGGGAGAGAGTTTGAACACAAATATGCACTAGGGGGACAAGGAATCAGCTAAGGGTCAAGCAGAAACATCTGGTCTTTTTAAGAGTCCTATTAATTTGAAAGCACTGACCAAAACAAGCTCAGTTCCACCAAATATACTTTGGCATGGCTCAAAAAAAACAGGATTTGTGGGAAGTATTTATTTCACTAGAACAAGAGTTATCAGTAATGATATGCAACTCCCACTATGGACATTTCAACATAAGCTTGTTTCCAAACAGAACATGCAAATTTCCCTTATATGCCTTTCCCCCCATATCTGATATGATTGAGGGTTTTAAAAAATATATTTAATCTGTATTGTTCAGAATATGTTGAAGGAAGTGGTGGAAGAGGGTTGAAATTATCCACATCTGATTGTAGGAGTTTGAAAGTGAATAATTTATACATTCACTTATAGAAGGCTTTAGCTATCACACAGCTACTAAAACATTGGAAAATTTATCTGAGGTTACTTCATAGCACTCTATAAATAATAAAACTTTTGTGTCTTTCCTACAACACAGTGAAATTTCCCAGTCTCCAATATAATGACAACTTCTGTGAGTTCACCAATACCATGAGCCCTGGCCCATCAGAAAACCAAAGTACAAGTCCTACCTCTCCACTGACAAGCTTGCTGATCTCAAGCACCCTGGGCTGCTCTGAGCCTCAGTTTTCTGCTGTTGTGAAAATCATTTGAGAACCGGGGAGGCTCTGCGAGGGACATCATTGCTAATCTCCAACCTGCTTCTACTTCTAAGATTGTCGGTTTCTTAAGTTTATTTTGGTTATTTGCTGGCCCTCTAGTCGTGCAATTAATTAATCAAAGTTATTCTAAATGCAATGGATTAGGGCAAACAGCAAGAATCGCTTGTTTATTCATCCAACAATATGTTTGAATGCTTACTACCACAGGACACTCATAATAAACTCTCTATGCCTAGGTATGGGTTAAGTGCTTTTCAATGCATTTGCTCATGGACACCTGCAACAATCCTATGAGTAGAGAATTACTATTACTATCATCAAATTAAAACTAAAAGTCTGGGCTCTGGAGTCAAACTGCTTGGTCTAAATCCCTGCTTTGTCAGCTCACAATGTGACAAATGACTTGACTTCTCTGTGCTTCCATTTCCCTATCTATAAGACAGAAAAGTGTCCTCAATGGCACCTTTTCCATAGGATTCTTGTAGAAGTCAGTTAACATACATAGCTGGATAAGCACTAAAGGTAGTCATTGTCAGCAACTGGTGACAGATTCATCAGCTTCTTCAAGCCTTCACCACATCTACAGTTGTATCTGGGATTCGAACCCACTTTTGTTTGACTCCAAAGTCTGAGCTCTAAACAAGTGATGAAAAGCCCCACAGCCTCTCAAAAAAATAAAGAATAAAAGACTGCCCAAATCTAAGAAGCATCAAAGGCACTCATTAACAAGGCATTTGAGACTGACGCTAGCTTTCCCTCTTTTCATCACTGGAGTCATTTCCAGAGGCAGTAACTCAAGAACAACCACACACAAAAAAACTGGAGTCACTCTGTGTTAAGAGACAGCTGGCAGCACTTGCAAGGAAATTTCTCGCTGGCATGGACCATGGCAGCCTGCCCCGGACACCTGTCAGCCTCCCCCTTACTCTGTCACCTGGACCTGTGAATCTCAACTTCCAGTTTTGGAAAACTTTAAGCAGCCAAAACTCACTCTCTACTCTGGGCCTGTCAGATAATAGGGGAGGTGGGCATGTTGGGGGCGGGGGAGGGATTTTGCCCTGCGCTGACCTCTTACTTGAATGTGCCCGGCCTTTGGCCCTCATGATCTTCCCTGGACGGTATCTTGGCAGGCTTTTGATGCCACTCTGGTATCGCTCAAATTTCACACTACCCTTTAAGAAGAGCTGGCTTCTTAGCTCCTTAGCAGCGCGCCGCTGGCTACGGAACTTTGAGGGGTGGGGGCTTCAGACTAAGGAGGGGGTGGCATTCATTGTTTGGCCCCGGTGAGTGAGTCTGTGGAGTTCGCAGCAGTGAAAGCCCGGGCATCTGCGAGATCCCAAGGGCTCTGGGTGATGGTCCTATCCCACCTTACGCTTCCTTCCCCCACCCTTTGCTCTTCGGGTCTCAGAAGCCAGCCAGGTCCCTGGGGTCGCCGGCCGCCCAGCCCCTAGAGCAGCCCGGCTGGGTGGGGCGGCGCCGGGCACCGCCTCCCTCCCTACCTTCTCTCCCCGTGGAGCACGTAGGAGCTGCGGAAGAAGCCCAAGAGCTCGTTCTCGATCAGGGCGTTGTAGATGATCTTCAGGTTGTAATTCCGCTGCGCGTCCAAGGTCCTGTTCAGCACCACCACCAAGACCTGGGTTTGCGGGTAGAGGAAAAAGCCGGCCACCGGGACAGCCCCTGCCACCCGGTCCTCGGCCACCTGCACCTTCTCGACCGCCACCCGGGAGGCGTGCAGCACGACGTAGCGGGTGGCGTTCCGGCACGCGATCTCCACGTTGACCTCCCCGGAGAAGGTGAAGTTCTCCATGAAGGCGGTGAGCATCAGATTGTAGTGCAGCGGCTTCAGGTGGCCCGACAGGCGCAGCTGCGTCCACGGCTGCCACTGCTCCCGCTCCTCCTCCGACGGCGGCTGGGCTGACGGGGTCCCCGGGGTGGCCTCCCCGCCTTCCTCGGGCTGCGAGGAGTCCCCGCCGGCGTGGTGGTTGCGCCGGGCCGACCCCGGAAGGCTGGCGTTGCCGCCGCGCGCCGGGAAGCCGGCCGGACCGCCGTCGGCGCCCGGCGCGGCGCTGGCTCCGCACTCGTCGAAGCGCAAGCTGAGCAGGACCGCGAGCATGGTGACCGCGAGCAGCGCCACGATGGACACGGCGAAGGCCAGCACGAGCCGCTTGTGCACCGTGATGTGGCGCTCGGTGGTGCGGGGTCGCCCCCCCACCGAGTCCGTCCACGGGTCCGGGAGCCCCCTGCCGCCGGCCCGGAGCGCGGCGGCGTCCTCCCCCATGGTGGCAGCGCCGGGTGAGCTGCTCTTCTCAGCCCCCTCCTCCTCCTCCTTCTTCTTCTTCCTCTTCTTTTTCTTCTTCTTCTTTTTCTTCTCCTCCTCCTGCTCCCCCCGCTCGCCGTCCAGGGCCATCACACTGCCTCCTCCTCCTCCCCCCCCGCCCCCTCCGTCACCCCCCGCGAGCGGGCCACCCGGGCCACCGCCAGCGCAGGCATCAGAAAGCGCACGCGGGCCGAGGGCGCGACGCCAGCTGGGACCCTGGAGACGCCGGCCCGGGTTCTTTTAAGACGGATTCTGGCCGCAGGCGACTGCAGCCCGGGCGCCCCCCATCAGCCCCGCCTCTCTCCGGACCCCGGCGGCCGAGGCGCGGGGCTGCGAGCTCTGGGACGCGCCCAACTTAGGGAGCGTCTCGCTCGCCCCACCGCGCGCTACTTCTCAGGCCGGCGCGGGGAGCCGGGGCGCATGCTGCCCCCGCCCCTGTGCGCCTGCGGCTCCCGGCTCGCCCTCCCCTGCGCCCCGCTCTCGCCCGCCTTTCTGCGGGAGCCTTCCAACGGGTCCTCTGCTAGAAAGGACTGGGAGCGATGGAGAGGGAAGTTAGGGCTTCCGCGCTCTCTCCGCACTCCAGCGGTGGCGTTCAGTCCTCTGGGTGGGCTGTGCTCGCGGCGGCGGCGGCGCCTGAGCCATGCACTCCGCAGCCGGGGGCGAGCGGCTGGCCGGGGAAGAAGAGAGCGGGGTGAACCGGGCGGGCGAAGTCCCAGGGCCGCAGAGCTGCGCCGGGAATCCCCCCTGAAGGAGCCTTCTCCTCCACCCTGGACACTTTAAGCAGCGGTGGCGGCAAACGGCGTGAGGTTGCAGACCGGACGGAGAGCCTCCCTCGTTCCGACGTTGCTCTGACCTCCGGAGATGACAAGTGAGCAAGAAGTGTCCGATCGGGCCATCCCCTTCAGGTAGATGAAGCTCCGGGGTTGCTCTGTATCCCCGTGGGGAGAGCCGGAGTGCTTGTGTGCGAGTGCGTGTGCATGTGTGTGCGCGTGTGTGCCTGTGTGTGTGTGTGTGTGTGTGTGTGTGTGTGTGTATACACAGTCTCCAGGTCCAGATTGCCAAGGCTACTCTGGCTGCATTCGGGGACTGAAAACTCCCGGAGAAAGGCAAAGGAGAGAGCGAGAGAGCGCGAGGAGGCAGGGAAGGCGGGAGGGAGGGGAGCGGCTGAGCGGCAGAGGCAGGCACTGGGAGATTAGAGAGCTTTTCTCCGCTCTGTCACACCAGACACCCACAGCCACAGAGGGGGTTGCTGAGCCGCCTGCAAGAAGTACATTGTAAATCTTCAGCGCAGCCAGCCCCGCAGTCTCCCCTTTTCCCGACTCCTTAGCCCCGCCGCGCCTCCCGGGGAGAGGTGGCGGGGGCGGGGGGAAATCCTTGGAGCCCTTGGCTGTTAGCACCGACAGCGAAAGAAGATCCTGCTGGGGAGACGAGGCAGGATCAGATTTCACATCTAGCTCGCCTGAGGATTTGGAGGATTGTATGTAAATTGAAACAAATTCTCCAAAGCCTGACTACAGATACTGTACAGTGTGATGTGTCCAGGTGTGCAGTACTAAAATAAGGGCTAACGTTGAGGCATTAGAATCCGCCAGAAGTAAAGGCGAAACAAAAGAAATCTTTTTCCCAATGACTAATTCCTATTTTTAGACTGGGAAAATGATCAAAATATAATGCATACGGTGTTACACCCAAGATCAAAAACTTTAGGCTGAGAAAAGTCGGGAATCTGAGCCCCATCACTGGAGGCTCACCAAAGCAGTGAACAAATATATTCCACGACTGATTAGTGTTTAACTTCATCCAGGCACAATTACTTTTCTGCGGTTTTTAGAGTTATCAGGAAAATCGTTTAAACTTTTTTAGAACAGTTATCAATAGGAAGTTTTGCTGACGGCAGGAGCATCAAAACAGGTTCATAGACCATTGGCTGGTAATGGACTCCTGTCTCAGTTTATAGAAGTTTTAAATTATGGTGCAAAGTGTATATGAATACATGGGATATCCAACTGTTAGATTTTTTGTGCAAAAAACTCGAATTGGGATAATATTCAGAAAAGAGACACCCCAAAGGTACCAATTCTGTTTTTAGAGGCAGAAGTCTCTAGTTTTAATAAAACAGAGTGCGATTGACCTCAGAGTCAGTAAAAAAATAATAATAATAAAAATAAATAAATAAATAGAAAATAAAAAGAGTGTTAGCCAACTAGAATTTAAATAAAAATCTGAAAAAAAGAATAAAAAGAGGTAATTTCTTTTCACATGTTTCTTTTGCATCTTCAAATCCTGAAGGCATTCAAAAAATCATGTCCATAATTATTTTTTTTACAAAAAGGAACGATAAATGCTACTGGCTTTGTAGTCCTGAAAATACACTACTAAAATGTTGTGTTTGGCTTTCAAAGAATGGCCAACAAGAAGAGATGGAATACACATCAACTGTAGCCTGACAATCACTGAAAACACAGCCCTGCTCAGTGAAGCTCTTTTCCATTTATCCCCAGATGGGATACATTCCCAAAACCATCTAGCCTAAAGGTCCATTTGAATCATTGTTAAATGATGATGAAAAGAAATACTGGGTGGGATTTTTTTTTTTTTTATAAGCATGTTGTATGTGGGCCGCTAGCAACAGACCAAGGGAAATGCCACATTCTGTTCAAGTTACTTTTTTCTGCTCTGTTTTTATATCTCCATGCTCTTGCTGTCCATATGTATCTGGCTGTATGCATTTTAAGAGTTGAGGAGTTGGGATTTGTTAGTTTGTTTTCACAGAATCAGGAAATAGAGTACAGACAGGCAAAAGACGCTGTGTGACTCTTAGCAGGTCACCAGACTTCTCTGACCTCAGGGCACTAATCTGGCATTTCAGGATTATCTGTCTAACATCCATGGATTCAACTCACTGGGATTATCAGAGGGATCTGAGACTTCTAGAAATCTTAGAATCACTACCTAAATAAAGAATTCACCCACTATGGGATCCTTAAGACCTTTCTCTAAAATGATATTAGTCAAGAAAAGATTCCAAGAAGACTTCTTTTCATCTTATTTGTATTTTATTGATGTGTTTATGTACTGTGGAAAATTACTACAAGGCAACCCTCAAATAGTTGGGAATTTAAATTTATGTTTGCCAATTAGTAAAGTCACTACCTTCTGTGATTAAATTAGTGGATGTATTTTTTCAGAAACCCAAGTGGAGGAGACACAAGCTTATTAATACAGAGTGGACACAACTTATTAAAATATTGATTCTCTTAAAATGTAACTTTATGCAATAAACTCAGTATCAAGGTCAAGTGGGTAAATATTTCTTCCTCTTATGGATGTTAGGAAAGGGTCCCAGTAACCTTTTCTTTTTTCTTTTAATTTCTGAAAGTGTACAGCACCCTTCCCCTGAGAAGCACTTTGTAAATAATTTTGTAATGTTGTTTTTCTAGAGAATGTGCATTCTACCCTCAAACCAAGAAAAAAATAAGAGGCAAAATTTCAGATTGTGTACCTAACTAAAATACTAAAGAGATGACTCACTAATATTCATATTAAGAAGTTGCCTTCGGTGTTGCCGGTCACTAAATCGGAGATAGTTTTAACTTTACCAGTGCTAGAGCCCTATAGCAGGATAAGACTCTCCAAAGTGCTTGACGCTTCTCTCCAAAACACATTTATTGTTGGGAGAATTTTATGATTATCTTCTTTAGCTAGCAAATGTCCTTAAAGACCTTTGTAGCCACAGTTGGTTTAAGACACTTGTAAAAGTGAAAACAGTGCGAACATTTAATATACATGAGGCCAACACAAGGTATTTTTAATTAAGTCTCCACCTTGGTCCTGTAAATGATCAAACATGAACGATCTCTCAGTGAATGCACCAGCTTTAGAGTCTTTACTCTCTGTGGACATCAGAGCTGCTTTTTCTTCCTTCACTCTGGTTTGTATCTAGAGGCACAACTTAAGTGTCCTTAAGGACTCAGCCCCTCAAGTGTGATTAGCACTTCACATCCAGAAGTAGCTTGTCTCAGAAGAAAGAAGTAAATCCCAATCTTCCCTCACCTCCTTACATTTTCTTAACATAGTTACTTTAGGACTCAGTTTCTTGATGTGTTCATGTATGGGCGTTAGACAGGTAATGCTCAGCGGTCTCTCCTGGTGTTTTCATTCTATGAAAAAAGATTCCAAAGCTAATCCACTAGTCTCTCTATGCTCTCCCACGATTTTTAATTCATTTTCTCTATGGAGAAGCAAAAAAATTTTCAATTAAAAACTCAAAGTTTAATGGGTAAAGAAACTTCCTAAAAATATTCGGCGGTAGCACAAACATGGGGAGTTGGGGAGAAAACCACCACCACCACGCAGGCAGTGAACAGGACTGATATGTTTTCTGAACAGGATGTTATCCTGAAGACCCCACACAATTAGAGACCGATGCTGACAATGAATGACAGAAGTCTGTTTACTAGCTGAAGTGGTGCCGCCATGTGGCAATTATAAAAAGACAGTTTGAAATTTGATGTTGTGATAATCTGTTTTTTTAAGTAGGCTCTACGCCCAACATAGGGCTTGAACTCACAATGCTGAGATCAAGAATTACATGCTCTACTGACTAAGCCAGCCAGGTGCCTGGAGACTGTGATAATTTGATGAAATTTTTAATTTGAAAAATCTCACCTTATTGCCAATTTTATTAATGTTTTTATATTGCATCATTCCAAAATTTCATACTATTTAACTACTGCACCTCCTGACATTGTTGAGGGGTTTCATTTAAGAAATATCCTTCAAGATAGAATATTCTTCAAGATCTTAAAGAGGGAATGAGAAGAGTTGTTTAATAATAGCCATAATTGAGACCGTGCAACTTTATGATGTCTATAGTTTGCCAACTATAATTAACACATTGATTTAACTGTTAGTTAATCTGAAAGGAAATTATATCTAATTTGATTATGTCTCTTTTTCTCACATAAAATCTGTAAAACTGTAAAATATATTTTTAAAAAGAAAACATTCCCGAAGCATTAATATAATGCTATATGTTAGTAGTCTTAGGAAAGTCTCATAATTATGTGTTCATCAAAACAGAACAAGTC